GGTTAAGATTTGTGCCCAACTGTTGACGCACGGACGGACGCACGGACGATCATGCGATTCTACAAGCTGCATCTGACTATGTCAGATGAGCTAATAAATATACAATCCATAGTGAACAACGAATAACACAGTACCATCTCTCGTTTTAAATTTTTTGCTTCTCTAATCTCTAACAATACGACTGTGTAAATAACTATAACACTTGGGAAATATTTCAAAAATATATAATCTGTGAGCTCACGCACAAAGAGTTTCTGCCAAGAAAGATGCTTATGATTAAGAGACTGATTAACAGCGAATTATAATCATATACTGAAATTTACCCTACGATCGAGATAATATTACACGGCAGTAATGAGTTACTGCCGTTATTATTAAGAGTATGTATTACCATGATATCATTTATGTACTATGTCCTATGAAGTAGCAGCTAGTATATATAGCAGCACGATAACAATAATAAGGTAGATCTTCCGGTCATTATTTTCTTGTTACTAATTATTAAAACGTTGCGTTACATTTTATAAATCTTCCTATTCCAGGAAAACTAGCCAACTGGCTATATATATCAGAAGTAGATAATAGGGAATAGTTTCCCTATTATCTACTTCTGATATATATATATATATATATATATATAAAGTATTGCCACGAACCTAGTACGAACACAGGTTCACGATACGATAATATAACTAGGCTCTCACTTTATAGTATTATCAGGGTCCTATTATTTTTTATAGTATTGATAGACTCCTGGTATTATGCTAGCCGTATTCTATTCGCACCATACATTCTCATATATTGTATTATGCTATCGGTTATCGCAATGTCTCAAAAAACAAGATCCAAACTTCCTGATCGCTTTACTATGCAAACGTCATTGGCTGGTGTATATGTGCACTAAAATATATCCACTGTAGGCACAAACGTGTACATACCACTCCACACTTACATTCACACACTTACACACGCATGCATGCACGCACGCACGCACGCACGCACGCACGCACGCACACACACACACACACACACTAACTACACATCTCACCCACACCTGAAAACTACTGCCAGGCACGGGCACAAATCACGTTCACAGTTATCCCAGATAGATTTGATTACGTCGAATAAATAAATACTATGAACGTCTAGTAAACAAATATCATAAACGATCGACGACGAGAACGACACTTCTTACACTCGTATGAACGACATTATACTACACGTTACAAAACGCTAGGAAAAGGACCTAAGGGCAGATGCAATAGTGTGTGATTTTCGACAGAAAACTAAAACGAACTGCTTAACTAACTAACTAGCTAACTATAAGCTAATTAGTTAACTATAATAATTAGTTAACTAACAGATAACCGGCTTGTTGCATAATGACAAACAGTAACTATATAGCAGCAGGAGATTCAACATTGCAAAGATTTTTTTACCTCTTGTAAAGCGAAAAACTGCAGATCATGATTCTAACAAGAAAAGTATCCAAAAGGCGTGATCCACAAAACAAAACGCGTAACACATATAAAAAATTCCTCGACAAAGTAGGAGAAAACGAAACAACAGTAGAAGGCGTCAACGTAAGAGTAAACCGCTCGAGAAAAGAAACCAAAAAAATGCGAAACCAAAAAAATATAGCAAATCGTGAAAAAAAAAATTGCACCAACAACATCGCAGCGAGCCACATAAACCCAATCCGCCTTTACTATGCTGCCCACCATCGACCCATCCGTCTGGCTAGATTGCAAACGCAACACTGCCCAATCGTCATTGCCATACGACCATTCTAAGGACAACGCTTAGCAACAAAGTGTCGCAAAGCAGACACTTTAGCGTGCGCGCAACAAAAACGTGCACAAACCGTTCTAGTATCGCCGACTTCAACAACGACATCCGAGGGAGAGAGGCGTGCGGTCATCGTGCGAGATAGATAGATAGATCATCCGTGATAAAAAGCTCACATCTAAGGATAGAGAGGGGGGGCGTCAGTGTCACCGGTCTCCACTCACTGCCACCACCACCACCACGCGCGGACAATCGGCGGCAGGGGGGGGGGGCTACGTGTGCGCAGCATAGACAACCAGCACTGAGGCAGCTGCCGACCACAAACGTGCTTTCGTTTCGACAAAACCTCGAAGCGAACATCAACGCGCCTCGACCTACTCCGTGACGATGACGACGCACGGTAGGTGGCAGCAGCAGCAGCAGCAGCAGCGGCGACGGTTCGCTAGTTGGACGCTGATCCGGTGAGGCTGAGGATGGCGAGGAAGATGTAGATGACATCAACGTAGATCTGTAGCGCGCCATAGATGTATTCCTCGGGGCTGAGCGAATATCGCTTGTTACCCATCACCATCTGTGTGTCGAATGCCAGGAACTGCAAGCAACGCACGCGGGCAGTCACGATTACCGTCTCAAGTGTTGATTATGAGAAAAAGTTTATTGTACGAAAATTGTGATTGTTTGAAAGAAATTAGAGTTTGTTAGGTGCAAGGTATGTATTGAATATAAGAAAAAGTTTATTGTCAGAAAATTGTTATTATAAGAAACTGCAAGAAACACATGCAGCAGTCAGGTTTAGAGTTTTAGTGGCAAGGTAGGTGTTGATTATAAGAAAAAGTTTATTGTAATAAAATTGTTATTATAAGGAACTGCAAGGTAGCGTGATGAGGTAAGAACATACGGGTGACGATGCAAGAACCTATGGGCGGGGTTGTTTGTACTTACAGCCGTGAACAGTAGTGCCATCAGAGCAGAGTAGACGATGTTCAGGAACTGCAACGAAAACGAGAGAACGTCGCGGTAACATTTCTGTAAGCTTGAAAAAACGATATCGGTAGCTGTATCATACAGGGATGTAGCGGTAGCGGTATCGTACTTACAGGGATGTAGCGGTAGAGTATAATGGCAAAGATTCCAAATATCATGAGAACCATGGCAGCAACAAACAGCATTCCTCCCCACTTGGTGAAGTCGTACTGTAATGCAGACGACCCGTTACTACTCACGGTAAACACAAATACGTGCGGCACGCGACCAACGATCGGGTCATGATTAGGTTGCGATCGTTAGGTAATGACGAGGTAACGATCGAGTGACGTATGGTAAGTATACACTAACGTTTCAGTCAGGATTAACCAACAACTTTGTAACAATCAAGTAATAATTTTGCAATGATTTAAGTAATGATTAAATATCAAATGACTATAAGAGAATGATTAAGCAATAATTAAGTAATCATTAAGTATCGCACAACTATTAGCTAACGATTACGCAAAAATCAAGTAACGAGTGAGAACAAAGTGACCATCTGTCAGTGGGCACACCTGCATGCTCACGCACAAATATACATGGCTTCACCCCGGTGGGTGGGTGGGGGTTACTTGGATTATATCAGGAGTCCATAATAGAAAAGAGTATGACACCGTTTTACAGCGTGCTTGGGCAGTTTTCAATTTGAATTTATTCTATTAATATGTGAATAACTCTATTCAAACATTACCTTGTTTTAATCTTTGATTCTCCCTTAGTCATATGACACCAGCAGTTTACCGGAAAATCGTATGTGTACAAAAATGTTATTTGAATACGACGGGGTTTCACACACTTTTGACCTATTCTGGCATGATAACAGCTAAACTTGCCGTGATAGCAGCGCCAAACTCGTTACTATGTGACGCTGGGAGCTGTCGGGGATATTAGGAAACAAAATGTATGAAAGCTTAGCAGTGTGTTAGCAGCCTGCTAAAAATAAATGTGTTTTTCCATTTCAGGGGTGAAATCCGGGGGTGAAACGGTTTCTTCGACACGTCTTCTGAATGTCTTTCTGTTTTTGTTTTTTTGAAAATGGGATCCATGTCTAATTATCTTTCTTGAAAAAGTCACCCATCCCAGCGGCACATCCCGTATATCCTTATACGTAAGTGCCCCCCCCCCCCGGGCTTTCAGCTTCCTGCTTCACACTCGCGCCGCGCGTACCTTGGTCTGGATGGAGAAGATGGAGACGGTGAGGCAGACGATCGTGCTGATTCCCATCGCCATGAGAACGATCTTCGTGTCGTAGTAACTGCTGATTGTACCAACCAGATAGGAGAATGCCACCGTCTGCGCGAGATGCGAAAACAAGCGTGCGTTAAACGCGGAAACAAGCGCGCGTTAGACATGAAAACAAGCACGCGTTAGACATGGAAACAAGCGCTCGTTAGACACGAAAACATACACACCTTACTGCGACCGCTCGGTGCGTGCCAAATCCCCACGATTACGCACGCAAACAATCACCAATCCTCCATCAATATATGTGTGTATTTATACGTATGTATGCATGATATAAATGAATATAAATATATATAAATGTTTTTCATATAATATATATATACAAGTAATTGACAATAGAAGAACGCGACAACAGTAACAACAACAGCTGTGTTACTGAGAACGATGACAACGATGGAACTCCATCTAGCTAGTTCTGCGGGAAATACTTACAAAGATGCCGAGAAAGATGAAGTTCAGGGGGAACCTCCGGCGTGGTCCTTTGCAGCAGACGAGAACGATGTAGACGACGAGGAACACGCCGCTGCGAACAACCGAAATAACGAACCCAACGTAAACAACTTCGGCAAACCTCCAACCGCCGACACGGCCGCCGAACGACACACGTTTGCTTGTTTATTTGTTCTCTTCTGAACAATTACCATTTACTCGGTCGCTGACTTCAGAATTTCATACGACGCAAAATGGAAAAGTGACTGGCATGATTCACGGAGGAGGATGTCGACCTCGAAAAAATAGTTGGCAGGGAAACGACGCTACACTCTTACTCGTTACGGAGTAAGAGAAGTACGAGTTATGGAGTCGTTTGAGTAAAGTAGAACGTGTTGGAATATTATTATTAGTATTATTATTATTATTGCATATAATTCAAATACAAGTAAATGTACTGAAAACGGTCTTTTTCTTGGAGAAAAAAATCTGATGGACACATTACTGTAAAAAGCTGTAAAAATACAAAAATTACCAAATAATACAATACAATAAGAGAAATATAATACAATACTATATTATTTACAGTGAATACTCACTAAGAAGTCCAGTAGAGCCAGGAATTGTGCTGCACGTAATATTTAACGCCGTCGCTGAAACGAGAAACAATCACTGATAAACATCCCGCAACAGTCTGACAACTACACCAACATAGATTCTCCCCCCTCCCCTCCTACGCACATTCACAAACTCCACTCTTCTGTCTGATCGCCCCCGCGACAGTAAAACTCTAACAGTAAACTGCTCTCAATGTGAGTTAGGAGCGAACAGACTATTATGTGGAATTAGCAGTGTTAAACCGCGTCATATGGATAACAATTATTTTGTTTAGCTTCTAATGTTACAAATGCCAAAATGTTTATTGACTGAAATTTGTTCTAGTAGTATCCTCAGTGTCCCATGTCAACACATTCGTCATGACCGAGTTATGAGCATATAGATGAGCTTTTCCTCAAATTGGCAGGTTTCAGACTATATTTTGCTCCTAGGGTAATTTTTGAAATCAGTGTAAACTCATTGAGAATTTTTTTAATTTTATATATTAAACTCAACATGAGCTAAATTAATGCTCAGATCGTTATAGAATGTACCAGAAAGCATCCATTTTTTCAAAATTTTTCAAACATGTTTATTCAAAAAATCATACAAACACGCACGAGCGCCCGTGTGCTCACGACCACGTCCGCTACCCGACTCCCCCCACTCCCTCACTATATTTGAATTCTAGCCGTTGCCCTGCCCATAAAGCTACCAAATCGGGCGATTCACACATAACCCTAGTGCCTCGATCCCTGTCTGCTTATTCAATCACTAAAACTACAAATGCAGACATCAGGCTGCTTATTACTATTGTTCCCGGCAAAGGGTTTGTTGTTTGAGTTTGACTCATAATAAATACCGTTATATGTGTATTTTTTATTACTTTGGTTTTTGTTATTGTGCATTTAAAGTCAATCATTTAACAGGGCCAAAAAATTTGACCCCCCCTTTTTCAAAAAGCTGGATCCGCACCTGCTTTGTAGACTTGATTTCGTTACGAAATCAATAATTTTGTAACGAAATCAAGTCATGCGACACTTGGCGCGCCGGCGCGCCAAGTGTAGCATGAGTTCGTAACGAAATAACTCGCAGTAGCTGATTTCGTCACGAAATCACTCGCAGTAGCTGATTTCGTAACGAAATCACTCGCAGTAGTTGATTTCGTAACGAAATCACTCGCAGTAGCTGATTTCGTAACGAAATGACTCGCAGTAGTTGATTTCGTAACGAAATAACTTTGTAGACTTGATTTCGTTACGAAATCAATAACTTTGTAGACTTGATTTCGTTACGAAATCAATAATTTTGTAACGAAATCAAGTCATGCGACACTTGGCGCCCCATAGTATGTCAGCACACTCGTAGATTGAGCCCATGAGCGAGAGCGCCATCGGTCGTGGAGTTTGCACAGGCACTTGAAGCGTTTCAATAAAATATAATGCTAAATAAATACGAAATCTATTTACTACCAAATTCTTAATGTTTCTATATTCTCTTTCATCTATTATTGCCGACAGTTTCCTGTAAATTCCGTCCAAATCCTCTATGTGCAACAGACACTGGCGGCGGCTATTGCTCACGCGGCTGCACTGTGCACACTGACACTTATATATATTGTGTATCTGTGTATATATTATGTGATCACGATCTTAATCAGCAACACTATCTAGCTAGGTGTAACACTATTTAGACCGGTGACACGTCTCTATATGCAGTTGGAGATTATTATTAATAAAGATTATAGACTGGGTTCTCATCTCAATCCTGCATTTTTTAAAGACGGTTAATCTGTATGTTACACAATGTGACATAATGTCATAATGTAATACATTGTGAGTGTTTGAAGATCGACTGTAAATTCGGGATATGACGGCATAATTATTATGCTATATTTATCTTATTATTATTTATCTTGTATTTGTTTTTATCGAATTATAATAATGTAATTAGGGCCATATTTATTATGAGAAGTTATTAGAGAAATTATACGTGTGCGTGCGTACGTGTGTGTGTTTGCACGTGCGTGTGCGTGCGTGCGGTTTACGTGTGTGTGTGCGTGTGTGGTTGCGTGTGTATGTGCGTGCGTGCGTGCGTGTATGTGCTTGCGTGCATCGCTCGTGCCTCGCCGTGATAAATCGTCTGTTCGCTCCTACAACGCTCCTGTAACATTAGAGGAAATTTTATTTCATGATCATTCATTGGCCCATGTGGGATGAAGGGGTGTTTGGGCAGATATGATACGTTTGAGCATCGATTTACTGTATGTACGATTATGTATACGCACGCACGCACGCACGCACGCACGCACGCACGCACGCACGCACAATTCAACGAGTAAAATTTAAAAAAACAAAGATTCGAGACAGACGTATTTTTGGCCGGATACGGATTTTAATGGCACCGATAACAGAATTCAGATTCACAATGTGTAATTAGATCTTTCCGATGAAGTGTCTACTACGCACACGCACGCACGCACGCACGCACGCACACAGGTAGACTATCGCTGCCTATGCGGATCGAAGACGCACCGGGTCAGTGATATACGTGACAGAGCGAGCAATATATATATATATATATATATATATATATTACGCGAAGATTTTTTTATTTTTAGTTGGCTTTACAAGATCCGCCAGCCCAAATTTCAAGAAAATGATAACTAAAAAATAAAATTAGAATCTGTAATTTTTTTTTAATTCCCGCCGACCTTTCTCTAAGAAATATGAATAAAAAAATGGTTAACTGTGCACAAACAGTTTATATTAAAAGTAAAAATAATTACAAGTTGAGTTTTGTTTCAATTTAGTTTGCTTAAAATACGTTGTAATATCATGTTATACAGTAGTCACTGTTTTTGACTTGTATTGATCTGATCTAAACGACAATTTTTTTTTTACCCTACCGAGTCAACAACAACAACAACAACAAAAATTCTGTAAACCAACAAAACAAAAAAAGGTGGCCTTACTATGGAATTATGCTGTTATAGTTAATAAAATTACAACTAACAGCCTTCCTTTCGTATGTCATGACGACTGCTTTGTAAATAGCGCTGCATACACAAGCGCATCTAATTCTGATTGAAAAAGCTGAGGCTGAGACGTTATCATTACAGGGTTTCTTATACATAAGAGGCACAGCACTGCCATTGTCAAATTTAACCTCGCCGTTGTGAGAATGCTCCTGTAACAACCCAAAAATAAATAGATTACCATGTGCTTCTGGGGTCTACACTATTCCGTTATTTGATTAGTTGGAGTGAGCACTATCCTATCAGCATTCGGTATTCTGCAAAATTGACTGGGGCCCGTTGTCAGAAACAAAATTAGTCTTAACATTAGTCTTAACATTAACTTCCATTCGTAAACCGTTGACAGAAACATCGCAAAGTTACGAGAAAGAACAAGAGCCGCAGAGCATCTGGGCTCATCTGAGGTCTGTTGCTACGGTTATAAATAAAGCGTAACATTTAAGTCGACCTGCGTAAAGTGACACCTGGTTAGGGCAGATATGCAGATACGCAGTTGCGCTACACATTCATTCAGCAAACTTCTGCATTCTCCATACTCCCAAATCCCATTTGGTTGATACAAATCGCTGTGCCTGAAACTCCTGTGTTATGCGAGCATTGCTGACCTAACCATAATCTATTAAAAAAAAAAATTTATTGTTGTAAATAAATCATGTAAATATTGCGTTAATTGGGCGTTTAGCCGCTAGAAACAGTTGCCGCTGTCGGAGGCAGCACATCTGCAGAGGTGAAGATTTATCCGCGTCCCATATGCACACCGCCGGTAGAGTGGGGATTAGGCGGAAGTGGTTTTTATTTTTGGGGTGCTGAGAGTTATGTAATATGTTTATGGATTCACGCCTATGACACGTGACTCACTATTAGAATCACTACGGTTCAGGTTACCCTGTTTGTTAGAGCCTGACATGCCAACATTCAATGAAAGCAAAGGAGTAATGATTTTCTAAATTCCTGGTTTGACAAAAACGGCGCAGGTGTCCCCCTCCCATTCGAGGGGTTTAGGCGTCTCCCCAAGAAAATTTTGAAACTTAGATGTCTGTGGTGCATTTGGAGCCATCTTGGC